GGGGGGGGGGGGGAGGGGGGGAGGGCGGGGACGGGGAGCTGGAGTAAATCTGAGGCCCCCAGATCGCAAATGGACACCTCGGCCCCTGAGCCTGCTGCTTCCATTTCCAAGGGCACGAGCATGGGGCTGAAGGTAGCACACTCCCGGACTCAGAGACTCCCTCCCACACTTCCCTCCTGGGCCGCCACCCTCCCAGTGGCTTGTATCTGTCCTCCGTCCCATCTCCATTCCCCACAATTTTCCTTAAGCCACCTTCCTCTCTTAAGTATATTACATGTCGCTTCTGTAAGAGGAAAGACAGGATCACTTGCCCATAAATAGAAAGTACCAGAAAACACAGGGAGAAGCAAACAGTGGTGTTACATTGTAGCTCGCTGCAGCTCCTATACCTCCCTTGTTAAAAAAGGAGATTAGCGGGGCACCAGGGTGGCTCAGGCGGTTAAGCATCTAACTCTCGATCTCGGCTCAGGTCATGATCTCACTCTTCAGCCCAGAATCAGGCTCTTTGCTAACAGCATGGAGTCTGCTCGGGATTCTCTCTGCCCTTCTCTCTCTCTGCCGCTCCCCTGCTTATTCTCTGTCTCTCTCAAAATAAATAAATAAACATTAAAAAAAAAAATAAAAAAGGAGATTAGCAAGTATGAGGGAGGTCCAGGCACGCCAGCACAGAAACTGAGTCATCCTCTTGAACATAGTCAGCTTCAGAGAAAATTGAGAAAAGGGTATGTTTCTCACTGTGCAGTTCAGGCTTATTCGAAGCCATGTTCACAAAGCACCTAAATTTCTCTTGTGTGGTCCCATGTTCTACCTGCTGGGGAAGCCACATTCAGACATCTCTGGACCTGAGAAGCCACCTCAAATCGTCTGAAGGCATATTTATGAAAGAGCCCGTTGTGAACCATATAGAGGACTAAGTGCCTCCACGTGCGTGATCTCATTTCATTCTTACCACCACCTTGGGGGGGTGGACATTATTCCCATTTTGCAGGTGAGGTAACTGAGGCCCAGGGCTGGTAAACACACGCGTGATAGCACATTTGAGGAAAGATCATGGTGAAATAGGGCTATCCAAATTTGACCCAGGTCTGCCTGACTCTAAACAGCTTTCCCTCCCGCATCACCGTGCCTCCTTTGTTCTTATCTGACATGCCCGACCTCATGTCCAAGACCTTCTGATTACAGCTCCTCTAAGTCACTAGTTCATTCATTCAATATGTCTTTACTGAGTACCTACTGTGTGTTATAGCTGCTCTAGGCACAGGAGATTCGGGGTGGAGATCAGAGGGGTGATCATCTACCTCTGTCTCCTCGGGGACTCCCATTCACTGGGAGGAGGTGGGGCCATCAACACATCAGGCGGTGAGCACCAGTGGAGAATACAGTCGGGTGAAGGACTAGAGAAGACAGAGGGAGCATTTCAGGAAAGGCTCTCTGAGATGTGACCTATGAACTGACCCCCAAAGGAAGGGAGAGAATGAGCCATGAGGATGTCTGGAGATAGAGCATCCTGAGCAGAGAGACAGCAGTGCAAAGGCCCTGAGGCAGGAAGCTGCTTACTCCGTTTGAGGACTATCGTGGCTAGAGCAAGGGGGAAGTGGGAAGAGTTGAAGTCAAAGAGAAACCCGCCCAGATAATGGGGATTTGTGGACCATTGTGAGGACTTTCACTCTGAAACGGGTAGAAACAGCGGAGGGTTTTGACTGAGGAAGGCTGGGGTCTGACTCAGTGTTAACGGGGTCCCTCTGAGGAACAGGCTGGGGGCGCAGGGGGCAGGATGTGGGTACAGAGACCAGGGAGGAGGCCTCGTGGGGAGGACAGAAGCTGGACTCAAGTAGAAAGAGGAGATGAAGCCTGGGGTCTGGTGGCCTCTCTGCGGTGTCCGGTGCCTCGAACTGGCATCTGCTGGCTCGCGTGTGCACAGCACTTCTGCTGGAGAGGAGCTTCAAGTCCTAAGTCTGCCCCTTATTAGCTGTGACCTTAACCCCCCTGGGCGGTGGCTTCCTTGTCTGTCAGAGGCGGGAACGTGGGGGTGAAGTGAGGCGCTCGGACAGCGCCCGGCACCTGGGAGCGTGCCACTTATGTTCCTGCTGGTGCTGGGCATGCTGCCGCTGTTGGAACCGTCTCCTGACACTGTCATTTGAGGCACGTGCACAGGTACACACGCACCTCCTGAAATGGCCCAAAGCAGACGCTGAATTTTAGGAGCACCTGGGTGGCTCAGTCGGGTGAGCGTCCAATTCTTGATTTTAGCTCAGGTCATGATCCCAGGGTCGTGGGATCGAGCCACACGTCAGGGTCCATGCTTAGCGTGAAGCCTACTTAAAATTCTCTCCCCCGCCCCGCCCCACCCCTGTGAGAGTCTCTCTTTCTCCCCCACCCCACCCCTCACTCACTTGTGCCCTCTCAAAAAAAAAAAAAGCATCCAGCTTTTGATTTCAGCCCAGGTCATATCACCGTTCATGGGATTGAGCCCCAGGTAGGGCTCTGCTCTAACTGTGGAACCTACTTGGGATTCTTTCTCTCTCCTCTCTCTCTCTCTGCCCCTCCCATGCTTGCACTCTCTCTCAAAATAAAATAAATAAACTTAAAAAAGAAAAGAAAAAAGAAAAAGAAACTTTTAAAAAGGAACTTAAGGGGCGCCTGGGTGGCTTAGTCGGTTAAGCGTCCGACTTTCGCTCAGGTCATGATCTCGCTGTTCATGGGTTTGAGCCCCGCGTCGGGCTCTGTGCTGACAGCCAGCTCAGAGCCTGGAGCCTGTTTCAGAGTCTGTGACTCCTTCTCTCTCTGACCCTCCCCTGCTCAGGCTGTCTCTCTCTCTCTCTCTCTCTCTCCTAGAAATAAATAAAAAATATTTAAAAAAAATAAAATAAAATAAAAAATAAAAAATAAAAAAAATAAAAAGGAACTTAATTTTAGAAAGAACTTATTTGGGGGCGCCTGGGTGGCTTAGTCGGTTGGGCGTCCGACTTTCGCTTAGGTCATGATCTCACGGTTCGTGGGTTCGAGCCCTCCCCCTCCCCGAGGGTCCCAGGGAAGCAGGCCACCTGACTAGCAGAGACCACCAGCGAGGAGGTGCTCTTGACCAGGAGCTGGGCCATCACCACTTACTAGCTGGGTGGCCTCAGTCTGGGAGGGGGACCATCACGA